AACCATCTCAACGGGCTGCAAGTACACCTCGCACACTTGAGAGCTCAGGTTGAGGTGACACAAGCCAGAAGTCTTTGAGTGGCATGCCAGATTCGTCATATCCAACTTGCCTCTGCGCAGTTAGCGACCAAAAGTGCCCGTGCCGTGTTTATGCCATCAATCTGTCCTATGATCCCGTGGCACCACCACCCCTCTGCGTTTCACACCGAAGCCAAAGAATTGGCCTCACGAGAGAGCTTCGTGGCTTGCATACGCAATCTCGAATGAGTGCTCATCCATGACCCGTCTCCACAGAATCGCGCGAGACCTGGCCGGGCTATCTCCTAGCCCGGTACAGTCTTTCGCTCTGAGCAAGAGAGGAAACACATGGTGCGGACTTTCGACTCAGCGAGATGATGCCTCACTTGCGAATGGTGGCGTGTTGAGCAAGGGTTCGGATGCTGCGGCTCCGACACTAGGCGTCCAAAGACTTCTTGATTGGTGCTGTCATGCTACAGAAGGCGCACATGTTCGGATGATTGTTCATTCTCGACCACGTCAAACACGCCTCCGATCGGGGTCAGAAGAGTCTTTTGCGGGTTGGACGCGTGACGCCGATTGCGCAGCGGCGTTGCCAAATGCTGACTGGATGGATGCTGGCAGCTAGGTGAGCGGCGAATCACGAATGCCGTGCCGTGCAGCATCGCTACGTACATGACGACAACCTTGCCTCCTTCGACCCGAGCAAGGCCGATGCAGAAATGCCTGTTTCCTCACCTCGGGCGCTTGTATCCGTGCTTCACGCTCGAGCCTCGGCGTGCACTCAAAACTGCACAAGTCACAGTCGTGAGTGCAAGAGACGCATTCACATCGCTGCCCAGCCCTCCTCGAACCACGCCAGATAGAAGGGCACGTACTCGCACGCCAGAGTGGGCCCGTCGGCAGAAAGTCCCACACTCCTCTGCGGAGCTGTGACTCCATATATACTGTCAGCCAGCGTGAGAAGGCCGTGAGGTGTGGCTGCGTGATACGCTCCTATATATTTCTCGAAACGAACCTTCGTGATTCAAGATTGACAAGCTCGGGCACGGCTGGCACAGTGGCCAAAAGTGGCGTGAATGGAGCGCTACTCGTTGGACTCACGACGGCTCAAGCGCGCGGTGGAACCGGACACGCTTCCGTCACGAGACACGGACAAATCGCACTCATTTACGGTAATCTTGAATTTGATTGCATATGTCCAACCGTGAATAATCAGCAAATGCGTACAACTCGCTGCATATGCTGTGACCGCAACCGCGCGCACCGCACGTACAATACACGCGGCGGGGCAGTGCCGGCATGCTTGCCGCGATTTCCGAGCTTGTCGTGGGTTTTGTGGAACTTGGAGTCAAGAAGCTGCTAATTGCTTGACGTAAGATGCAACCTCGTCATCAGACCAAGTCAAGCGTGCAAGCCATAAGCCTTCAACGCTTCATGTCTATACAAGCTTCATCATGATGCTCAGCCACAGCAGGCTACTCGGCAGCGAAAGGGCTACATAACGTCGGAATTGGCGCCTCAAGTAACCGAGTCGCTCGCTCGTTGCCCGATTCAAGTGCGAATGCGTCAGACACTTTAAAGCATTCGAGAGCAGGCCGCCCCGACAGCTCTGCATCCCGCAGCTTCAAACCACCGCGCAAGGCACCAATAAGCGCGACTCCCACCCACGACTGCCACATACACTGTGGACTCGTTCACATACTGCCAAAGCATACCCTCGCGTGATCGCCATCGCATCCGCCATGAGTACGATCGAGCAGACGAAAGATGGTGGAAGAAGAGCGCACGGCACGCACGACTATCCGACGCCTTTGCCGAGCATCGACAAGGACGTTTGGGATGTGATTATCATAGGCGCAGGTCCAGCTGGCCTCATGACAGCGGTGAGTGCCGAAACTCCCGAATGTCTCTTTTGCGCAATGCCACGCTCGCTGATGACGTGATCGTTGCGTTGCAGACTTCGCTCGCACGCTTTGGAGGTTTGGACGTCTTGGTCGTCGATGAGCGCTCTGAGCCCACCACGGCTGGTCGCGCCGACGGTATCCAACCCAGGGTGAGTCTGGCAGGGTGGACTTGCTCT